TAAACATTTATTAATTTTCTAAGCATGCAGTGTAATGGAAGGAAAATATAAATAAAAAATTAGAAATCAAAATTATTTATATTAGGTGCTTCATATTACTATTTAAAAATTATATTTACTTTTACTGGCATTTACTTTAAAAAATAAATGAAATATTTTTTCTTCGCAAAAAACTACATGTAAGAGAATTAGCATAAACAAAATACAAACATCCTTAACTTTTTTTTTTAAATTGGCACGTGTAAAACTTTCATTTTAATTTTCTCACCCCATAGTTTCAGTTCGATAACCATTTACTTAAATATGATTATGCAACCACATTACTTAAATATGATTATTAAGTTCAACTAATTCATATTATTAAAACATCTACAATACAAATGTGTATTTTTAAAATTAATTGTAAGTTCATCTCATCTCTCTTAAATTTGCTACTTCTCAAAATTTCACATTAAAAAATAGACCATATACCATATAAAATTAAATAATTGAAAGATCGGACTACGGAAAACCACACAAATTTTCGGAAAAATTTTGACCACCTGCACATGCACATAATCGTCAATAAATAAAATTAAAAAATAACTACTATTTTAGTATTTTAACTATTTTAGTAAACGCAAAAATAGGACAGTATTTATACGGCGAAGTTATAAAAATTGGAAGAACTAATAATGCACTGACACATACAAAATCAAACGAATACTAAATTTCATTTATCAAAAGCATTCGATAGTCGTGACTCAACGATAACCATTTAGTCGCACGGCGAGGTTGTCACATATGCTTTAGTATACAAATGAATGAATGATTTTATTCGAATAAAACCATTCGATAGTTGAAATCATTCATTCATTAACCATTCGATAGTCTAATTCATTCGATAGTTCCCATCGCTAGTTTTAAGTTAAAAAACATAATTTCTTGATAATATAGCAACATAGGTGGTAGATTAAATTTACATTAAAGAAAATCCAGAAAAGAAACCTCAAAATTTAAGCAAAAAAGCATTTTTTGTTTAAATTTTCAAAGTAAAATATCTCAACTGGTTTCTTTTGACCAGATCTACCACCCCTTAACATATTTGCACTTATTTCTGGGACACCCTGTATAATATACGGGGTTCTGCAATAGTGCGTCGGGCATCTGTAGCTCCTATAATATATAAAACTTGGGAATTTTATTGAGTGCAACCCTTACGTATACACTAGGATGTATTTCAGGAAAATGTTTTATCTTTTACAGGGTGACTTTAGGGGATTAAAAAGTGTGAGTGGATTGAGATGATTTTTTTAATGGAACACCCTGTTTATTATTGCATTCTTGGCATCTTTTCTAATCACTTAACATAATCCTAAGTTATTATTAAATATGTTTTGATATTTTCAGAGATATTAATAAATAAATAAAAAAAAATATTAAAAATATGAGGATTTTTTAATATAATTATATCTGAAAACCCTGCATATTAATTTGAATGTGATGCACCATCTCTGGACACTCCTTAATATTGCCTGTGCTGTCAAAAACGACTTGTTCATAGTACCATCTTATAGCGAGCTGACCTTTTCGTGTTTTCACGTTTTCTTAAAATTTTTCTTGTCATTTTCTTGAGGTACGTGAAAGAATTAAATGATACACCTATACCAATAATATACAGGGTTGTTCACCACATACGACACGGAGTATTGTAGCTAAACGATTAGATTTTTAAAAAAAAAAAAAAAAAAAAAAAAAAAAAAATATTTACATATTTACAGAGTGTCCGTCAAATAATAAAAATTATTCAAAGTTGTATTATTTTCTAAAGAGAACAACCCTGTATATTATTGGCATTTTTAGTTTCTACGATTAACATAAAGGTAAATTTGGAGATTAAGGTTTTACTATCTAATATTTCAATTTTTTAAATTTTAATCTGATTTTTTCAAGTCGTTTTTAAACCTTTCTAGTGTTTCAAAGTTTTTAATACTAAACAATACTGAGTTTATTTATGACCAGTTATTGTTCCTCTCTGCAATTAATAAAAAATTATACTACCTTATACAGAGTGTTCTAAAAAATTTATTTAAATTAATTACTAGCTTTAAACGGGCAATAACTTTATTTACTTTAAATCAGAACACACCTCTATATTTTAGAAGAATCTGATGCACATTTATGTTCTTTCAAATTGTATTATATCCACTTCTGCCTGCGTTCCTTCAAGTTTTTCCCGTTAGAAGAATGCTTCTTATTTTACACCTTCATTATATCAATATACATGAATATTGACATTTTTAGCGTTGTTTTAAGAACAACAAAATGTACAAATGTACAGGCTAGTAGTATTATAGTTTTTTAGTAAAACGATAATATTACTCTAGCCCATTTGTAGTGCAAAAAAAAGACTATTTAAATGCTTAAATAAAAGAGTTATTACCATTAATTAAATATACCACAAGTATTTCCGCCCAAATTCTTAATTAACTACATACTTAATTATGTTCGTTAATAAATTATTCTCTAAATAAATGCCTTATTTTAAATAAAAAAAAAAAAAAAAAAAAAAAAAAAAATATAATAATAAGTTATGAAATGAACGCCTCTGTTGTTATAAATAAGCATTTAGTCAAAAAAATTATGTAGTCATTTTACAACGGTGTTACTTTTTACCACACTGTCGAATACACATACAAATTCAGTTTTTTAGATTTGGAAGGCAATTATTTTTAATCAACGCAACAGTCAGTTAATGTAGCTTGAATACTGGAATCATTTTAATTGGTCCTCTTTAACAAATATTTAAACAGTTTTTTTTTTTATATTTTTTTAATGAAATAAACGAATTATATCGACATTATTAATATGTGTACTCTTAATAAAAATTGGTACACTCTTTAAAATTAATCTAAAATGTTTTTTTTTTTTTTTTTTTTTGTTTTTTATAAATTAGTTCTAAATTACAAGAAGATTCATTTTCTACGGAAAGTTAAAGAAATAGGTAAAAAATGGCTATCAATTATTAATTTGATTAGACAATTAAATTGTGCACTCTGATTTCTTCGTAAATATACATGCGTGTTTCCATTTTAAACTTATGAAAACAAGTTATATCCAGTTTGAAGCTAATAAGTTAATTATTAAATACAATTTTAGAAATACCTTGTATAAAGGAGTATTATTTATTATTGCAACACAATAACTGATCAGAAAATAAACTTCAGTAAATATTTTTAGTATTTAAAAAACTTTTGAGAACCCTTGGAGAAATGAAGCTTAAATTTTTTTACTGATTTCACATAAATTGAAAATATTTCAAAAACGGTAAGGTTTAAGCTATAATAAATCGTTAATCATAATTTACCTTTTATTTTTTATTCGTAGAATACTAATAAATGTAATAATATACGAGGTGGTCTTACCATTTAAAAAACATACAACTTTGATATATTTTATCTATTTGGAACACTCTGTATCTTTTAAATTATTTTAAATTTGTACCTCTAATAGTCCTTCATCGAAACCCTCAAAAACTTTACACATTTGTAAAATCTAGTCGTTTAGCTACTATACTCCGTGTAGTATGTTGCCTGAAACAAACCCTGATATAAGATAAACTAGAGTGACCAGCGACTTCGTTTCGCGTATCGAATTAATCATTTGTTAATGGTGAATGAGGTAAGCAAAGCAAGAATTTCCATAATCATACAAACTGGATAAAAAATTTCTCTCACATTTTATGTCAGCATGAGAAAAAACATATTGGCGATATTATTATGTAACTGGTGCGGGTATATTGGTGACGGGGTGTTTCTTGCATGCTCGTTGGATTTGACTCTTTTCGAAATTCCGTCGTTTGGGCCAAACAATAAGCTTGTGTGTGCGTCGCAAGCAGTTTAAGCAGAATTCGTTGGATTTCAAGAAATTACCCAACTTTTGAGAACACGCCTGTATGATTTTTTTAAAAAAATGTCAAATATGCTAAAAAAAACCAACATATATTCATGCTTGTCCAAGCGTTTCTCGAAAGACTAACGCGGTTTTTTGTTAATAAACAAATTATTTTTGAATTTATTGAGGAGCGTTTTCACCGCTTGGAATTTGTGATTCGAGAACCCCCTCTTTATCGAACCTCTACACCCACAGTCAATCCGTTTTGCAAAAACCAGCTTTTAACAACGTAGCAAAAGCAGTTTAAGTCATATTTTATGAACACCCCTGTAGTATAATTTATAAAAAAACATTAAAAATATTTAAAACAACAAATAAAAAAAAAAAAAAAATGTTTAAGAGTTTTTCCGAAAAATCACCGGTCTTTTAAATATTAAAAGATATTTATAATATTCTGTGGGATTAAGTTTCACCCCCTTTTAGAATATCCCGAGTTTTTCGACAAAAATGCCCTTCTTATCGTAACCTCTACACCCTTAAAAGCAATCTGTTTTCATGCCAAAGACATCAGGCTTTTGTAACGTATTCAAGCTCTGCTTTAAGCAGGATTCGTGATTAATCACATTGACCAATTTTTTCGAAACCACGCCTGTATACATTTTTAAAAAACTTTTTTTTAACAATAATTAAAAAAACAAAATAAAATATACGTGTTTTAACGCGTTTTTTCTCGGAAACTTGACGTTTTTTTAATTAAAGAAACTATGTTCACTAGTTAATATTTGAGTTGTGGTTTCACCCTCTTTGAACTGGAATCAAAAAATCCCTTTCTTATCGAACGATTCTACCACCGTTAGAGATCAACTTGTATGCCGACAAATTCAAGCTTCTTAGACCGTGAGTGGTTTGAGAGCAGGATTCTGTGATATAATTCAGGCTGCATTGTCAGTCACTTAATGATTTTGATATATTAGTATAGATTACAACACTTCTTAGAGAAATAAGTAGACCTGAAGAGTATTTTAAAAATATTTAGTTGACACAACAACCTTCGTATCTGTGTTTATATTGCTTATACCTATATAACTGTAATCTATATTACAATAAATTATACCTGTTTTTTCCAGATCCTTGTTTGTATATACTACGTTTTGCCTCAAAGTTGGAGTTTGGCAACAAAACTCAAATGGTGACGAATACAGCGCTACGATTGGTCCAGAGAATGAAGCGAGACAGCATACATTCTGGAAGAAGACCTTCTGGATTATGTGGTGCAGGTAACTGGCATATAATATATACAGGGTGTCCCAGGCTAAGCGTACATTTAAAGTTTCTCGAGAACTACTTAATATCTAGATTGAAGATCAACCTTTTCACTTGTTTTTGTATGGAGAATATGTTGTCAAAGTTTTCTCATTGCAATTCGGACCACCCTGTATATAAATTTACGACGATAGTCAATTAATATGTTTAATATGTTTTCCCTTTGTTCAGATTCTGATAACAAGACGAATTTTTCTATAGTGAAAGTGTATCGTCCTCGACCACTCAAGGTTTTTCCATATTAACAAATTTAATATACAAGAAACGGAAATATATCTTAATATCTGTTTTCGGTTGTTTCGTAGGAAGTACGCTGGTACTTCCTGACGAGTACTTCTGTTAAGGTCAGAAGAAACCCATGCAAAGGTCAATAAACTAAATACATCCAGCAATAAAATAGGTCTAAATATAATTTTTATTTTTATTTTGCTTCTTAAATGCTTTATAGTCTTCTTATTTTGTTTTAATTTCATATTAAAAAAAAAAAAAATTCTATTATTTTTTTTATAACCGTAGCTTAACTTATTTTAGAATTTTCGACAAAAGTTAAATGTATAAATTAATTTTATGTGTAACCGTATGACAGCGGTGTGTTCACCACATCACGACACGGACGTATTGTACGGCTAAACGCACTTGAGATTTTTACAAAATTGTGTTTGCGTCGATGTAAGGACTATTAGAGGTACAATCTTTAAGAATTAACTTTACAGATACAGAGTTGTCCCAAATAAATAAAAAATATCAAGTGTATTTTTTTTAAATGGACCCCTGTTATATTATTCACATTCTTTAGTCTTCTACGATTAAAATCTTAAGGTAAATTTGATTCTAACAGATTTTATTATACTTAACCTTACGTTATTTTGAATATTTTTTCAATTTTGTTAAATTGCAGAGTAAAAATTTTAAGCTTCATTTCTCCCGGGTGATCAAAGCTTTTAATTACCTAAAAAGTTTACGCTTGAAGTCTCATATTAGCCTGATCAGGTTTATCTGAATGTATGCAATTAATAAACATTAATACATACCCCCTTCATTACAGAAGCTGATTTCTAAAAAATTTGATTTTAAACATATTTATTAATTTTTTTTTTTTTTTTTTTTTTAACTGTTTAATTTATAATGGAACACCCTGTATATATTTACTCGAGAAGTCAGATTGCACAATTTAATGTCTCATCATATATGAGTACCATTTTCATTCATTATCTCTTTAAGTTTCCGTTTAGAAAAATGCATTTATCCTTGTAATTAGAACTTATTTATCAATATATCCATTGACTATTGACATTTTAGATTATTTTTTAAGATGTACCAAATTTTTAAAGAGTACAGTTATTAATATTGTCGATATAATTCCGTTTCTATTTCATAAAAAATATCAAAAAAGTTTTTTTATATTTTTTTGTTTAAGAGGACCAATTAATATTTTGATTCCAGTATATCCAAACTACATTAACTGAACTGTTTGCGTTGCATTAATAATAATTTGCTCCAAATACTAAAAAACTGAATTTTGTAAAAATTTTCCAAAAAAAAAAAAAAAAAAAAAAAAAAAAACACCTTAAAAATGATATTTCCTTTTTTTTAATAAAGTGCTTTATTTATAACAACAGAGACATTTTGTAATATGATAACTTATTATTATATTTGATTTTTTTTTTTTTTTTTTTTTTTTTTTATATTAATAGATTTATTAACGAACCACAGCATAAGTATTCATAATTAGTATATGGGCAAGGGAAATAATGGGTTTTTAGTTATTTAATTAATGTGATTATACTCTTTTTAATAAGAAGCATTATAAATTTAGTTTTCTTTTTTGCATACAAATGGGCTAGTAAATTATTATCGTGTTTTGCTAAAAACGGATTAATATTTGACTAGCCTGACATTTTGTAATTTGTTGCCTTTTAAAAACAAATCTAAAATGTCAATATTCCATGGGTATATTGAGGATATATTGATAAATGAGGTCTAAATATATAGGGGTATAATACAATTTTAAAAAAAAAAAAAAAAAAAAAAAAAAAAAAAAAATACAATTTGATAGACAATTTAATGTGCATTCTGATTCTCCTAAATATACAGGGCATTCCATTTAAACTTAAAGAAGTTATGCCGTTTGAAGCTAATAATTATTTTAAAATAGAATTTTTAGACACTCTGTATAACGGTAGTATTATTTTTTTATTTTATTCGCAACACAATAAGCTGATCCATATAAATAGAACTTCATTAAAATATTTAGTATAAAACATTGAATACCTCGAAACTGTTTGTTCACCTATTGAAATGAAGCTTTAAAATGTTTAATATAAAAAAAAAAAAAAAAAAAAAATATTTTCAAAATACGTTATAGGGTGTTTATGTTTTTGAATTATACACACCTGCTTCTCAACAAATTTAGCCTTTAGTTTAATCGTTTAAAACTAAAACATGTAGTGTGTGTGAGTTACAGGTGTTTTTCCATAAATAATTAATATAATAAATTAATTTAATTTTTTTTTTTTTTTTTTTTTTTTTTTTTTTTTTTTTTTTTTTTTTTTTTTTTTTTTAAAAATATTTTTAAATTGTAGCTCTAATAGTCCTTCAACGAACCCCAAACTTACAATTTGTAAAAATCTCATCGTTTAGCTAGTTACTAACATCATCAGGAGATACCAAGAATTAGAGTTAAAATATCGGTAAATGCACACCCCATATTTTAACTCTAATTCTTGGTATCTCCTGATGATGTTAGTAACCACTATACACCATCAAGCACACTATAAAGGCTTTAATGAATAAATAAGTGTCATTGAATGAAAATAGACCGAAATAACCTGAGATTTTATCCTTACTTAATTATTTATACATATTGTTTTGTTTTTATTTTCAGCTTTACTTATAGCTTCACGTCTTCACGAGTTCAGTAGGTCGATAGGAGACATTGTCAAAGTTGTCAAAGTACACGAATCGACTATGAGAAAAATAATTATAAATAAAAAAAAAAAAAAAAAAAAAAAAAAAAAAAAAAAAAAAATACAATACAAATAATTGTATTTTATTTTATTTTAATTAGCCCACCTTGAACTTAAAAATATTAAAACTATTTAAATTATTATATTATTTTTTTTTTTTTTTTTTTTTTTCATTATATAGTAGAATTTGTATATGCCTGTATTGAAAATCTTATCCTATATTAATAATTGAAAACCAACAAAAATATATGACTTTTAAAGCGTACTTCTTTTGCGATTAGAAGCACTATCATCGTGCAGCCATCTTGTTTCTGTGTGTTCTAGTGTTAGGGCCTCCTCCATCATTTCTCCATCTCGATTTTGGCTGGTCATCTATATATCCTTTAATTCCGTTATGCAACTCCTTTTACAATCATCGGTCCTCTAGCGTTGTTCCGGTCTGTCCTTGGCTAATTGTTTGTAATCTGCGTGACTTCTCCTCTTCTGTAGTTCGCCTTTCTAACAATCTTCTAGTTCACCTGTCTTTAGATGTTGACATGACCTGCCCATCTCCATTACATTCGAGTTACGTGTTCACTTTATGGTGTCTTTTAATTTTTTGGTTTTTTTGCTGAATAGTGTTTAGAATTTTGTCTCTTTTAGTGATTCCAAGCATGGCTCTCTCCATTGGCTCTCATGGGCTTCTCCCCTTAAATTTTCGTGCTGACTTTTCGTTGAATTGTTAGAGTTTTCCGGCTCCATATGTAATTACCGGCAAGACGTATTGTTCATAAACTTTCCTCTTCAAGCATATGTGTATATCACTTTTAAAGGTCCCCCGCAGTTTGCCAAAAGCAGCCCAACCCAAACCTATTCTGCGCTGTATCTCGTGTGTTTGTTGTTCTTTCCGATTTTTGTATTTGTTTTCTCCTGATATATTTTAATATATATTTTTTTTTTTTTTTTTTTTTTTTTTGTTTTTATTTCAAATACTACAAACGTGTTTGTCATTATTTGCGTTTGACTCGTTTTTATCCGGAGACCGACTTTTAATGAGGCCTGCACTAATTCTTCGAGCATCTGCTTTGAATCTCCGATGTTATCTGAGACAAGGACGATGTCATCTGCGAATCTGAGATGTGTCAACCTTTCACCATCGATATTTATATCCCTATTCTCCCAAGAGAGTGATTTTATTGCGTATTCAAGGACAGCTGTAAAAAGTTTAGGCGAAATAGTATCCCCTTGTCGAACTCCTCTGCCTACCTCAATTTTATCTGTTGTTTCGTTTTACAGTTGTGGTGGCATTACTATATATGTATTATATAAGTCTTTATTTACCATTATAATCTACTCTTTCCTGCTCCAATGCTGCTATAATTGATGATATGTGTTGTGCACCAATGTCTTAATTGTGGATATTCATTTACCGTATATCTATCTCATTGTCTAATGTGAGCCGTGTATTCCTTTTATATCATTGGATGTGTTCTATCCTTGACTTAATGATAGAATGTAGATGTAGAATGTTTACGAGAGGAGTTAATCACCGCGACCTTTATAGATCTATTGTGCTGTCTCCCCTTTTCTTGAGTTATAACGAGTTATAACTCATCATACAGTCTCAGGCTTTAAGAAAAGCCTCAGTAGCTGAGGACGGCTCCACAGAGGCCAGCTCTCTCCTTTATTCTCTCCTCTGCTACATCCTATGAATTTCTTTGTCCCTATATGGTTCTTTTTGTCTAAATTCGTATTATGGTCCGTCTGTCTCGGCTGATCTCTTTGTGATAATATAAGTTTCTTTGTGTTGTCCTCCCTTCTTCTGTCCTAATCTTAGATCCGTCTCTATCTCTGCTCCTATGTGTGTTCATGTTGCTCTTGTATGTTGGTGTTTCTTTGAGGTAGTAATTATGTGTCTGTAGTAATTATTTTTGGTTTGATATCCCTCTGTTAATGCTTAATGTGATTGTGTTGTGTGTTATGCTCTTGTTTAAGATATAGCAATGTGGAAATACTCCTTGATTCCTTCCCTGTGCTATAAAGTTCTTTTAGTTGGTATATATCTCTTTTCGTAGGTTGTCTTAAGGACCGTTGGAGGACACCCCCTTCCAAGTTTGCGGATGGAGTCTTCCAGGTTTTTTAGTTCCGCTTTCAGTTTGTTCCTTTTGGAGAACAGAACGGTTCTGTTCTGGTCCAGTTAGAGAGTGTTCGCTCCTTCTCTAGCAAAATCGTTTGCTTTTCCATAGCTTTCTATCCCTTTGACGTTCGGGCAGGGCACCAGAGTAGAGACTCTTATTTTCTTTGCCCTCAGATTTTGTCTAGTTTCTCTAGGCATTTTTTTGACCAACTTCGAATGAATTGGTTACTGAGTTTGATCGCGTTAAGTGTCTTGACTATCGGAACATATGGATGGGCAATTTCTGGTTGTTTTCGATAGTTCCAATCCAAGATAATTTACGATTCTTTCCCGGATACGTCTTCCTAAAATTTCTGATCCCTGCAAGGGATACGCGGGTGCAATAGGTGCCCACCTCTGGTTTGCGGAAAGTATTCAGTTCTGTATCGGGCCCAACCATACTCCTTTATCCCTGTCCCTGCCTTTTGTTGTGGATAGTTTACTTCTCATTTTATGTTGGGTTTTTTATTCACTGAGTCGTGTAATGTCTGTAATCTGTTATTGTGTTATGTTTGTTTCTTTCTCCCAAATCTCTTATTCTACCTCTCTCGGTCCCTTCGAGAAATATGTGCTCGTAGCCTGCGTGTGTGAATATATGTGTCTTTGCCTCGGTGCTGTCCCACTCAAGGTGGATCCATTCTTGGTGTTTTATGTCGACTCCACTTGCGGAGCTTGGATAAGGTGCGAACTTCTTTCCTTTTGAGGTGGTAGTTCACAGACCCCCGTTCTGCATCCCTTGACAAATTCTCTCCCAAGTACATGTGTTCGTCACATGACCATGTCTTAATCATTGGTCGCAATTGCCATAAACTACCACTCGACACCATACTGCAGTGTGTTTAGGTCTAGAATGACCTCCATTGTGCTTGCTGCTTGGACATTTCTTCTGGCACTGTGATGCAGACTAATTGCAGGTCATCTCTGCTCTTTTTTAAGTAAAACAATCTTCGATTTGTCACGGGGTTTCTAACAGGACCTCTCCTCAACGAACACCTCAACAGGCTGAAGCTGAGAAACAACAGCAAATGCAAATTCTTTCGGCAAAATTGGAAAATACCAGAACACCCGCCTTATCACCCAAGTGCGCCAGAGACGGCGACCATTTTATTGCCATGAACTTTGATACGGCTGATGTCGGGGATGACTGGCCTCTGTGGAGCCGTCTCAGATACGGCTTTTTGTTAAAGCCCTATGGGGAGACTGTATGATGAAGTTTAACTTATTTATAACTCAAAAGAAGATACTCATGCCAAGATATGTAAGGTCGCTTGGTGATTAACTCCCCTCCTAAACATTCTACATTCTACACGTAAATAGTTTGACATTAAAAGAATAATTTAGAATTTGAATAAAATAGGCAAGTTTACTTCCAATTAATCCGGCCCCGTATTTCTTCTTGTTTCCGATATCCCCATGATGAAACTTGAAGTTTGACACCCGTGCCTCATCATATTTAATAAATCAATATTTTTGAAATGTTTGAATTTATTATTAAATTTTTTCTATTATTTGCTATTACAAAACCTTTGCTACTCATTATTTTCTCTCACCAGGACGAGTAAACAGAATAAACAATAAACCAGTGAACTTTAGTCCAAGACTAATTATTCTAACTACCTAATTAGCTTTACACGACAAATCAAAGCCAAGGAAGTGAAACTTCGAACTAGATATAGGGTTTTGATACGGCTAATGAATGTGTATATCCAAACAGCAGCTATGTGGAATATATTATATTTACAGGAAACTCAGCTGAATATGGTTATAAGTTAAAACAACTTGAGTTAGTCTAGGATGGAGGTACCTAAGAGGTAGTAAAGTTAGAAGATGTAATACAAAATATCTGGTCGTGGTTTTGATAACTTTATAGTGTGATTGGTTTGTAAGTAATAGTAATATGAAGTAAGACCTAGTAGTATTATTATGAGTTTTAATAAAAAATAATTATTTTAATTAATATATATATATATATATATATATATATATATATATATATATATATATATATATATATCTTTCTCTCTGCTATATATATAAATTAGTTATTATTATTTAGAGAGTTCTGATATAAAATAAGAAGGTACTAAAATATCAGAATGTTGAGACTCGATTAACACAATACCAGAAAAAAATCAACGAAGATATACCGGGTGCGTCTCAAATGTGGCTCACCCCCATAGCACTGTATTTTTTCAGATAAAAACGAGATATGGTATGTTAGATGTTGGTATATGAAATAAATTAGGATTCATTGACGGTATTCTATTGTTTTTGATCACTTCCTGTTTCACCGGAAATGACTAGAACTTTTGATTTTTAAATAACAACTTCGGTATTTTTTTACTTCATTCGATAGAAAATGTCACTCTGAATAGAATGGTACTCGAGTAACACTTTCACATATGGTTTATTTGAAACATTTTCACATATGGTTTATTTGAAATTATAACTTGCGGTTCGTAACTAAAATCTTACTCGAAAGTGCGTGGTATCAAATTATTCGTAAAAACATGCTTTTTCCAAATATGCCAATGAGCCATCGTCGCGCGTCGTTTCATTTCAAAAAATTGAGAAATGATTCGGGCTTCTTTTAACCGGCCAGGACAAGAGATTAAAAAATGAAACGATCAAATCTATTTTTCCAAGGCTCCTTGATTAAGAATTCGTGTTTTTAACATAGCCTTATTAAACGTGACTGTCAAAAGTGGACATGTGATATGTCATTCTATTCAAAATGTCACTTTCTATCGAATAAAGTAAAAAAATGCCGAGGGTGCCATTTAAAAATCAAAAGTTGTAGTCATTTCTGGTGAAACAGGAAGTGACCGAAAACAATTAATTGAATACGTCAGTCA